CTGGAGTTTCCAGGTTCCGTGTTAATCCCCCTTTCACGTATTTGTATTGTTTGTACTTTTAACAGGATAGATCACTGTTTGTTATCTTCACCCCTTTTCATACATCAATAGGGCATCACGGCGGGTGTGACCGGTTGGCAGGGGATGCTCACTCCTCCATGGCACCTGATTCCACCTCTGATGTTCCTAGGGATCTGTGTTTGCTCTGCTCCCGATTCATATTGTTTTAATGGACTTTTATCTTGAACACTGTTCGTTATCTCCGTATTTCATCGATAAAAGCCATTTTAATCATTTCATTAAGATGCTTGAGTTTCTGATTTACAATATCTTTTTAGTTTTTGGAGATCAGGTCTTCCAACAATCTGCAAAAATTCCCATGGGTACTAATTGTGACCCATTAATTATAAACATTTTTTTTTATTTCACATGAAGCAGAATTTATTGAAAAACTTCTACATGAAAACAATGTATTTTGCTGCTATTTTCACTTCGACATTAAGATATATATACACGACAATTTATCAATTAAGAATATTTATTTTACATTCCTAAGTTGATTTTGATATAGCCAACTGAACTCGAAATAAAAGGCACCACAAAGTCTGACATATTTCTTTAAGATTTGGATTTTTTTTTTTCTCCCGAAAACAGGTTGCAAGCATCGCTAAGGTCCTTGATTGTTTGCCTCTCTTTACAAGATTGTGGAGTACTGCTTAGAAATGCTGACTTTAAACGAGGTTGTTAAAATCATCGTAATATCAACTTATCTGGCAGAAGCCTGCCTCGATTTAAAAATTGGTTATACCCAGAGACTCTTTTCTTGATTTACAGTGCAGTTGTTCTTGAGTATCGAGTAAGTTGGGAGGGAGACATAAACACCATATACAAGTGATAGTGGAATGACTACGTAAATAAGGAAAGCTGACGATGAAAAAGATAAAGTCTTCTCGTTTGACCCATATTTAGTTTGTAGCTGGTATATAGTCAGTAAAACATCCAAGTATGAAACAGATGCGGAAAACTCTGTGGTCTCTTTCTTTTTATCTGAGTTCTCTGGGATATGCCTAGTCGACATATGAATGGAAGTAACTATTGTTAATTGAGAAAACGCCGTCGATATGTCTGAATGTCGAGTTGAAGGCCATAGAATCTGTTTTCTGCTTCTCATATAGTAATTGTTTAATAACGTCTGCTTCATAAGGATTTAAAACAGGTCGGCTAATAGTGAACAAAGGTAGTGTTCATCAAAATTCCAAAAGACTACATAGATGCTGTAAAATTTTAGGAATTCGATCTTTGCATCATTTACAACCCAAGATAAGTCTTTAATAAAATAATATAATCATCATTGCTTATTTTTCCATCAGGTGTCCTTAATATCTAATCATTTAACGAGAAGTGTTGAGAGATAAAGTGCATTTAATCATCACAATAATTTATAAACATTTTTAAGAACATTCCGGTGTCATTACAACTCAAAATTCATGTACTATTTAGCATAATTTTGAAAATAGAAAACAAAATTTTATAAGCGTTAGTGACCAGTCGTCACACAGAATATTTTAATTTCAAAGTAAATTGATTCTCTGAAAATCGTGTGACTTGCTGCGACATGCATTTAACTACAAGTAATAGCTTCCTGATTAGGTAAATAACTGACTTAAAAATTAATGCGGTTACTATTATACGTTTATCTTTTCGAAATTTTTGACAGAAGTATTTTGTCTACATAAAATACTCGCTTGGTCGGGCTCGTGTTGAGATGTGTTCCGAGTATTTACATTTCTTTAGTTCTATCTTGTTCTTATCATACTTCACTCTGCATTGAAATTCATTGTGATCTTTTAATTTCATTAGTACTTCGTCATCATTACATTTGCAATTTACTTGCCATGTAGAAGAATATAAAAAGGAATTTAATTTTGTTGCATTCTTATGATAGCTATTACATTCTTTAAAAAAATCTTGAATACACCTAGGCACACAAGCACAGATTACCTGATTTCTACATTTCCATAGGTTATACAGAAAAGAATAAACGGCTCAACAAATTTCTATCGAACTTGGGAAGATTATAAACATGGATTTGGAGATCCCAGGAACAACTACTGCATTGGTGAGGGTCAAACATTTTTAATCAGTCTTTTGTTGTTTAAATCAATGATCGTAAAGTAGTAACTACTGGATTGGTGAGGGTCAAAAATTTGTAATCAGTCTTTTGTTGTTTTAATCAATGATCGTAAAGTAGTAACTACTGGATTGGTGAGGGTCAAACATTTGTAATCAGTCTTTTGTTGTTTAAATCAATGATCGTAAAGTAGTAACTACTGGATTGGTGATGGTCAAAAATTTGTAATCAGTCTTTTGTTGTTTTAATCAATGATCGTAAAGTAGTAACTAGACAGACATATATCATTTCCATGAAATGAGATATGGAGATAACGAACAGTATTCAAGCTCAAAGTCCATTTAAACAATGTGAAACATGTGATGCAAGTTTGTGAGGCACTGATTGATTATTTGTTGTACTACATAGTGTCATAAACACTAAAAGGTGGATTCAGATTGATTTTAATTGTTCATATTAATCTAAATATATATACTACATGTACGGATAAGTTTAGGACTACTGTAAATATTTTCGTTCATACATAAACAGAGTATGAGAAAATGGATTCTTTATAACTAGGAATTTTCAATACACCATTGTTACAATGCACAACTTAACAACATTTTTGGAATCAATGGTTGTTGGCAATCTTGGAATCAATGGTTGTTGGCAATCTTTTAGTCAAAATGATAGATTAAAGAATGATTCAGTCTGAACAAACGAACCGTTAAGTGCCCATATATAAAATCATTTCAACTGCTTTGATTCAAAATGAAAAAAGATGATAATGCTTAACATTGATTTTACAATTTGTTTTGTACCACAAGGATGGGTAAAATAATGTCATCTTCTCAACCTCTCACCTCGCTACCCGAACTATACCGGAACGACCTACTCCAGCTGTATAAAACATTTAATTCTGTAGATGTCAATTTACTTCTCACTTCGTGTAGTTGATGTACATCTGACATGTCATAAAATCTTATTTTAATCAATACTTGAAGTCATAATCATCCGTTTTAAAGGATTAATTTATATTTTTCACAAAGGGAATGATTTAATCCACGCTTTAACCAAAGATCAGGACCAGGAACTTTGTGTAGGTCTACAGAGCTTTGATGGAGAAACAGCGTATGCTGAATATTCAACGTTTTATATCGGAGAGGAGAAAGATAAATACCAACTCACAGTGTCTGGATACACAGGAACTGCAGGTAAAAAATTCCCATTGAAATAACCTTGAATTATAGGCCCCTTGTAACACATTTTTCTAACAAAGGAACTAAAAGTTACATTTTTATCATGTGATCTAAGGATCTTGTGTCTTCCAGAGGATCTGAAATTTACCCTTGGCTGTGTGGTATCATTTCTGATCTCTAGATATTAATGTCAACGTTAAGATTGTACATATTTGTAATTAAGAAATTTCACCATGGAAAAAAGTATTACTTCAGACGAAAAGTCATTGGATAAATATAATTCTGAACAATATTGAAACGCATTCACTTTTCATAGAGTCAAAAATTTACCTTTGACAGTACGGTATTACACGTGACCTGAACGGTATTGAGTCGAACATTTACAGGTTATTTTGAGAAAAATGATTAAGAAATATCAACATTTGTTGTAATACTTTCATAAAATAAGTCATTGGAAGAAGCACAAGAACATTTCAATAATGGATGATAGTTGTCCTTAAAGACAGATGATACAAACAAAAAAAATGGATGCCTGGATTGGTATATATTTTTTGATCTATTTTGGTTCTAAATTATAGGAATACTAAATTTCCAAAATATTAAGAAATCGTAAAATTTCTACGATGTTCAAAAGTCCACCTTTTTGCAACTGTCCTTATTAATCTTTACAAATATTTGTCACTTTAAATCCAATTACTGTGAAATATAAAAGAAAAATAAAAATCTATGCGGTTAAACTTATTCAATTTACTTATATAAACAGGGCTTTAGTTTTTATTTTCAAGATTTTTGATAAAAATTTGTGTGTATCATCTGTCCTTAAATATGGAAAAGGGTCAATTTAAAAAAAAAAAAAAAAAAAAAAAAAAAAAAAAAAAAAATCAAGATTTAAACTCATTCCTGTAATTCAGAACCATATTGAAACGCATTCACCTTTTACAGAGTCTAAAATTTATCTTAGATAGTACGGTATTACACGTGACCTGTACGGTATTGAGTCGAAAAGTTACGGTTTCCTTTGAGAAATAGTACTCTATAAGATATGAGCACTAATAGGAATTTGTTATACTTTCTTGAGAAAGGTAATCGGAGCAAATCAATCAGATAAGCACAAAAACATCACAATACCTTAATAATTAAATTTTCCTAAAACAGGGAAATTAAACCATTAATTTCAAAATTGTGTTTTCATGATTTTTCAGACAACTGAAATCAGATTGTCTCAGGAAATTGCTGGATATTAGTGAGTTCATTCTTTTTTCATATGAGTGGTTCCATGTTTTATTGGTGCAGCAAAATTTCAAACAGTTTTTCATCCATGTTTCCGTAACCATTTTATATCATGTATTACTTAAAGAAATCTACAGTATTCAACACTTAACGTAAAGATTACATCTGTTTATTCTTTTTTTTATCACTGTCTGGTAAGAAAATAAGGCTTGTTTAAAGAGGGGTGTTACTCAATTACTTTTATCATCTGCTGTAGTAGAGGCGAGGATCTAATTATAATATTTCCTGGATTTACTATGTATTTTGTTGAATTGTTAATTAGAAATATAAACTTTGATGATACATTATACTTAGCCATTTGTATGCCTTAATTCATTGTGGATAGTTACGCAAGTAATTTTGGCAAACTGAAATTTCATACAGGTAATACAGGTAATTCATTATATACTCTGTAACAGGTGACAGTTTGGCTTATCACAGTGCAATTAAGTTCAGTACAAAGGATCAGGACAACGACGGGGATAGTCGTAACTGTGCTACAACATATCACGGAGCCTGGTGGTACGACTCCTGTCACCACTCAAACCTTAACGGACAGTACACCCAGTCTGCTGTGTCTGATTATAAATACCCGGTATGGGGTCAGTGGAAAGGAACTGAAGCTTTAAAACAGACTGTGATGATGATAAGATACAAAAACTAGAGTTAATGTATAAACAATCCTGTAATATTTATAATGAAACTGATATCTAAGTTTTATTATTTTGGACTTCAGTGTAGATCCATCTGTGGTTATAAGGACCCATGTCAAGTGATATTGACCGAAGACACAGGAAGTGATAGCGGCCGAGCTTGCAAAGTCACTGAAATCCATAATAGTTATATTATATAAGATAAAATATAGAAGATTAGACAATCTTTAAAAACATTCGATATTTTGAACCGAGGTATAAAGATGTTCCTTCACTGAGTGAGTTTCAAGAACTCTCGCAAGATGAAACAAAGAATCTGATCATGGAACTACAAACTTAATCTTGCGAATTAGACATCTTACCAACTAATATTTTGATATCTTTTTTAATTGATATTTTACCAAACATTATGAAAATCGTTAACCTTTCATTGAAACATGGCATCTGTGGAAGAAAGCGATCGTTAAACCCCTTTGAAAGAAAATAGGTTTGGAATTGGAGCTAGCGAGCTACTGGCCGGTGAGTAACCTGTTTTCAAAACTTATTGAAAAATCCTCTCCTTATAGACTCAATATGCACGTAAACGAAAACAATCTGCTTCCAAAAAATCCGTCGGCATACAGACGTTTCCATTGTCGTGAATCTGCGCTATATAGAAACAAGAAGTAACAACTCTCATTGCAATTAATCTCAGCGCCGCGTTCGATACTGTAGACCAAGATATCTTAATTGAAGTACTTCAAAAAACTGCGGCTTGCTGTGAAATTGAGTAAATTCATACTTGCGACCTCGTGGCTGCCAGGTATGTGTGAATTCCGTTTCATTATCTGTATGTCAGCCGCAATGTAGCGTTCCACAAGGTAGCTGCTTAGGACCCCATTTATATCCAACGTACGCAGGAACTTTATTTGATGTCATTCCATATCATTTTTCGGCTTTGCAGATTACCATACCGCAAATTATGCTTTAATCCAACATCGCCACACAGCAAAATTAAGACTATTCACGAGCTTGAGGATTGCGCAATGATTATTAACAGTTGGATGAACGCAAATTAACCTAAAATGAATGCATCAAAAACAGTATTCATTTTATTTGGGAGTAAAAAAAAAAACAACAACAGAAAAATGTGCTACGCAGGCGATAAAGATTAATCAAATCCGTATACGATAATTGGGTGCATTTTTAGATGAAAACCTAAATTTCAAAGAACATGTAAACAGGAAATGTCGTACAAAAATGTTAATTATCTAAGGATTAAATGTATTTGCAAATATTTAACAAAGGAAGCTACGGAAATTTTGGTTTTATCATTAGTTATTTCCCATTTAGACTATTGCAATGCTATTTTATCTGGTACGAAATAAGTAAAATCCAACGAATTCAGAATATGTGTGCCAAGTTCAGTAATATTATGAGGGATGGTATTACTTTCTAAATTTTAAGAAAAAAAATCTAAACTTAAGGTAGCTCATTCATTCATTCAATCTTTAATTCCTCCATTTGGAGCTTTGATAAAAAAAAAAAACAACAACAATTACAACATATCTAAATCAATGAAAATATATTTTAAAAATGCGGCATTTACAATTTGCTTTTACACTCTATATGAAAAAATAAAAACATCTCATGTGTGTGTATTATATACATTATCGTGGTAAGTGGCTATACTAGATACTATGAATGAAAAACATTTTAAAATGAATTTCTTCTTGTCTAACACTTGGTCATGGGTACCTCTAAGAACAGATAGTAAAGAATTGTACTCGTTTAATGTGACAAAATCTATATAAACATCATTGTAATCATTTGATATTCAAAAACTCAGATCTTTCATTAGATGGTATAGAACAAGTCGTTATGGCATGTTGAAAACTATTAGTAAAGGGTTTCGAGCAGATAATGCACTGATATGTATCCTTCCTCGGTACAAGAGTCCACAGATCAATGTACTTAACAACTTGCATTTCTTTTGTTGAAAATGAAATTTTCCAAAGTGAAGCCAAATGTACAGTTGTATGAGGAAACTTGATGTCATCGAAATCTCGATCGAAGTGAATTAAATCTTTCCATGAAGAATTGTAGTAAGAATTAACAGCCTGTTTTACAATGTTCTTCCAAATATTCTTGGGTGGAATACTGGTATTGCCTATGTATGTCTGAAGAAATCTTTCTAAAGAGTATTTCTGGATAATAAAAACAAGATCTCTAACAAAACCGAATTTTGGTTGTGGTTGAGATACTCGAACATTCGTATCGTAGAAACGTGTTTCGGAAGGAGATTACTATCCTTGCAGCAAAGCTTTCCAAAGAAACATAGTTTTCTTTTATCAATTTCAGCTAGTATTGGGTGTAATCCGAGCATACTTTCACAAATAGCCGATCTTGTTGATTTTTTGGAAATTGTGTATGTCTTTTACAATAAGATGTTGAAACCTATTCAAAATGTTAGTCTTTTGTTTTCAAAATGTCCTATTACTTACAACCGAATAACGCTGAAGGTAATACAACTTTCTTATAAATATTAACTAACGTTTTGGGATGGGAACTTTTCAGCACATTTGCTTTTATTCCAAAGTAGGATTTCCTTTCTTTTTCGAAGGAACGGGTTGTGTTCGGTAAAGATTGAAGGTTGAGGGTTTGATGTCTGTTGTACGCCAAGATGTACGTAATTTGTCGAAATTGGTATGACCTTTTCACCAACATGTCATGAGTAATTACTAAACACTTTTTGTAATATCTATAAATATTGCAATCTTTGATTTTTTCAGCACTAAAGGTAAAACGCCATTTACATGAGTACTCATAGGCAACTGTAAGTAACGTCTGAAGACCTGCTGGTGTCAAATTGACAAAGTTATGTCATCTGCCAAGTTTGGGTTTGAAATTTTAGCATTTAGAATATCCATATTACTAGCATTATGAAGTTCATTTAGCAGGTCATTTATAAAATCAGAGTGAAAAAAAAAAAAAAAAAAAAAAAAAAACTGATAACCCCCACCCCACCCCCTGTCGTACACCTTGTTGTACACTAAACTGTTTAGACATGCATCCGTTAACAACAATAGCACAATGTGTATCTTTATGACAATCATCTATGATAGACGATAATTTGCCTTTAATCCCTAATTTATTCAATGTAACCATCAAACCTTCTCTCCGCACGGAGTCAATTAAAAGCTTTGATACTATTCATAAAAGCAGTATATACATTGCTTTGTTTTCTATATTATAGTATATAGTTTCTTGCAAACAAATGATGCTGTAATACAACTTAAACTTTTATGGTACTCTTGCTGTTGGGCATTCAGAAAAAGTTCATTACTAATAATAAATGAGTGTATTCGATCATGAATAATTTTTTCAAAGACTTTTGAACATTGTACACAACAGTGATACTGGTCTATAACTATAAGGCTCTGTTTTTGGTTTCTTGTTACCTTTATGTATAGGTACAATAATACTTTTTTCAACAATGACGGTACGTATTTAACCTCTAAGATAGCATTAAATATATTGCAAATAACTTGTATTGTTTTCTTCCCACAGTTTTTAATATGTTCCGCTTGTATTAGATCTACACCAGGGACTTTTCTTTTTTTTCAAGGATAAGATGGTTTCTAAGACTTCAGAACTCAATATGGAACCTCCAGGTATGTTGTCCGTGAAAATACGCTTTCATTTGTTCATATTCGTGTTGAGTAATTCTATAAAAGATTTCATCAAACTGATTGTTATTACGCTGCTGATAGATTTCTTGAAAATAGTTTTCAAAAACTTCTGCAACACTATCCGGAGAGTTCCCTACGCTGTTTTTATGTCTAATTTCTGGATATGTCTTATCTTTTTTGGGTGTTTGTTGTTTAAGTCAGCGCCAAAATTAATCTTACGTCACATCCTGCAGCAGCATCGTCGATATCTTTATTTACACCATCAATATACGTTTCGTACGCGCTGTCGAGAGTATTTCTGAATTCACGCTTAGCTTTTTTGTAATTACTATAGGATATATATTCCAATCCTTGTAGCTTTCCGTCGTTCATCCATAATTTTCTCATATGACGTTCTTTCTGATGTGCACTCTTAACATCTGGTGTCCAATACGGTTTAGTGTGAGTGTTGTAATTAGAGACTGGTATTGTCTTTCGTGCTGCTTAATCATTATAGGTGTGACACAATTATACACAGTCTCTATCTCCTCAGATGTTTGTATCCTTGATTCCATGTCAGTGGTGGTCATTTCATAATTCATTACATTCTCGTACGATGCGATCTGTTCGTTTGATGCCCTATGCCATGCTGTAAGTTGTTTATCGATAGGTGACAAAATGTGGAAATTTTCGTTTACATTTATCTCAACATATACTGGTAGATGGTCTGATGTACTCAAAATTTCACCTTCGTTAAAGATTTTAAATGTTTTCACTTTATCTGTAAAGCCTTCATCTAGGAATAAGTCAAGCATGGTATAATTTCCAATTAAAATGTATTGGAGATAATGGTTTGTTGCTTTAAAACTATGGTATGGATGAAATAACCAGTTTGACTTTATAAAATTGACCATTTCCTTTGATTTATTCCTATTTGATTTTCTATAATCTTGTACCATGCAGCTTACATTAAAATCGCCGGCAATTATGACATGACCAAATTTAAAAATATATGTAAACATGTTATCTAGATTCACTAACTCTTCAATATATGTGTCTATAGAACTATTGGCTGGTAAGTACACTCCAGAAATAAAAATATAGTACCTAGACCTTTGTTTTGTTTCACATGCAATAATTCTACTTGATTCAACCTTGATTTTTTTTACATTAAAACACATAGACTTTCTGTACAGTATCTCAACATCCCATTTTCCATGAGTACTTCCTGTTGAAATTTGTTCACATTTAACCATACTTTAATACTTGAAATCAATACTATTATGAAACTTTGAATATTGTGGACAGGGCTTGTGTTCACATAAGACTATCATATCACAATTGTCTCAAAATATTTGACAGACATAATGA